AATAACAGGATTTGCATGGCGGGAGTTTTCCCGGTGTGGTGGAGAATGACCGCCGCTCTCACAAGCGTGACGCCAAGTTTGTGACTTCTTGTCTTGTTTACTTTATAAAATAATCAGTGGTATAATGTGGAGGATATCACCATCCCTCGCGTCTCAGTATGGTTTTCGTGCAGTCTGTCCTCCTAAGGTTTCCCACGGTCAGAAAACTGTCGCACTAAAGTGCCTTCTAAAATTTAGAGGACCCTAAACAGAAAACGCGACAGTACCTCCATCATCACAACTATGAATGTCGCCCAAGTACTCTACGACAATTGCGACGTACGGCAAGTGACGTATTAACTAATCTCCGTCTACTTCAAACTCTCTATTAGCTGTGTGAAATATCAATAAATCTCACCGTAGGCGGCATCAGTTTAAAATATTGTCGACATTTCTCTGAGACAAACCAAACCTTTCTGAATATCCAGATTTCATCCAGATTAACAGAAAATGAAGAAGGGGTCAATTATATAAAAAATTAGGCCGAAAAATATATTTTTGCTGGGTTCCAATGCAAGTATATATGACCAAAAATTAAATGGCAAATCGCACAGTCAGACCCGTGAAACCAGCTGTGTTTAACAATTAGAAACACCAGTGTTATTATTTGGGCGATTGCATATTATCCAGCAGCTGGACGGCCGGAATCCAGCCAGGACTAACTCCTCTGCAATTATATCCTCCAAGACATTGGAGTATCAATGATACTCTAATGAGTAACGCAAATGATACTTGCAGACTCCAAGTATCATTGAGAGGAACACTTATCTCTCCTACAAAAGCATCATAAACGGAGTTCACCGTATGCACAGTAGCCGCGGGAAGAACTTTTTCCAGCAAGTGTGCGAAACGATTTTTATTTTGATGTAATATGAAGCTAGATAAAAACACCAGTTGTGCCTTATTATAGAGTTCATTTAATAAGAACGTGTGTTGATATCATCAATTCTTGCTACTTTTTCTTGGATATATTCAAGTGGTGAACGTGTTTTGCACGCTTGGTTTCTAAGTACCTTTTCAATGTTGACGTTTTCACATTTTCAATGCAACAATTTCATTATAACCAACACTAAAATATCAGATTTCCTTTTCACAGTTAAAGTCAGCATTTTAACTGTGACCTTAAAGCTCACCATTAAAGGCTATGGTGAGTCTTAAGCCACTTCGGATTGATTGATGAAGATTAAACCACCCAAAAGGTGGCACGGGCATGAATAACCCGTACCCCACTTTGGGGGGGTTGTAGGGTTCGTATATGGCTTCTGGACCCCATCCTCCTACACGGGAGACAGCTCCCGTCACGCAGGGTGCAGTTGCACCTCCACAGATCTTCAGTATCTGCTCTAGATACTGGTAATGGCTCAAAAGGGCCACCACTTACGGGCTATTCATGCCCGTGCCACCTTTTGGGTGGCTTAATCTTCATCAATCAATCAATCCTCCTAACCGCAGGACAGGGGAAGAGGTGGAGGGTCCCCTAAGCACACATATATCCCTATCAACATGAGCTAACAAAATATAAAATGGCTAGTTGTTTCATCTCTCAGGGGTTAAGATGACAATAATAACAGATTAGTCAAGTTTTAGTCTTTAGTGTTTTTCCTGCCCGAAACGCTTTGCGTAATAGTGGCTTTATGTGTGTACAAGCTCTATCTATAAATCCATCATTGTTTGTATCACACCTTGTATGTATGTACTTTACCTGAATAAACATTTGAATTTTGATTTTTTTTTTAAGTAGAAAAATCGTCAAGCTGGCTTTTCCACAACTTACCTTTCTTTTTGTCATGGGGCTCGTTGGTGGGTGACATGGCAACGAGCTCTTGCTGGTTATAATTGCTGTAGGTTCGTATAATTGTAATTTCCATTTTTTAAGAGTAAGGTGAGACTGAACTTCCCGTTTTCCTCTTTTTTCTGATCAAATCATCCATTTTTTTTCTTGAGATGGAGTGAAACTGTTCCGAATATAATGGTTGTAATATACTCCCGGGGCCCATGACGGAAAATAGCTAGTGTACCTTCTGCTCTCTGCTGTATCAGCCGAAGAAAATCTCACCGTGTTCAAAAGTACCACATCGGCCTCACCTTGTATTCAAAGGGAACGTGATAAACTCCTCCAAGGATGTCTGATCAACCGAGTTATAATTCATACACCAGCGTCTATACCAGCCTGGGTGACTAGACCATCAACCAAGATGCCTGGTCAGAGACCGGGCCGTGGGGGAGATATTGGTCCTCGAAACCACCACAAAATAAACTACAAAATAAACTCAAGATATGCTATGAGGTGTTTATATGATTATGCTTAAACTACCAATATTATTTCTAAGGTGATGGCAATGCTAACTGATAAGGTGTTAAGATACCAATGAAGTATCCCAGGGGCCAGATTCACGAATGCACTTACGCAAGTACTTACGAACCTGTACATCTTTTCTCAATCTTTGGCGGCTTTGTTTACAATTATTAAACAGTTAATGAGCTCCGAAGCACCAGGAGGCTGTTTATAACAATAAAAACAGTTGAATTGGAAGTTTTCATGCTTGTAAACTGTTTAATAAATGTAACCAAAGCCGTCAAAGATTGAGGAAAGATGTTCACGTTCGTAAGTGCTTGCGTAACTGCTTCGTGAATCTGAGGCTGTAACCTCAGCTAGGGTTACCGCTCGCGCTGCTGCTGGTTCTGGCTCGCACTGGTTGGTAGTTGGTGGCGAGGGTAAAGGCTGTTGAAACTGGCATGCTAAAATAATCCTTAATTGTAGGCTAATTATTTTAAATAAACGTCAGGGTCTCTCTCCTGGACCTTCTCTCTGAGGCGTCCCTGACTAGACTCTTGGATTCAAATTATGGCGCGTGCGCACGCACTATATAGACGCAACCCGTCCTCGACTCAAGTCCATTACATTCAGCGGTCAACCCCCACAGACGCATTCACAAATTTTAACACGCTGTTCATTCAAAACGGGAATTTTCTCAGGTATAATAGGTTAGGTTAGGTTATGTTTATAATATATTAGCATATTGTGTATATATAGGCATAGGTTAGGTTAGGTTAGGTGTTTAGGTTCTGTTGGCGATTATTTGTATTTGTAGTACGTGGGTGAAGCATTTATAGCGTTGTGGTTCGAACAAGATTCGTCACTGAAGCATTTGTTCCGGAAGTGTTCGAACGAAGTCAGTTGTGAGTCGTGTGTAAATCGTTTTTCATTCAGAAACCAGCCCGTCTTCCAAACAAAGCCCCAAAAGTGATTCCATGCACCCGCCAAACCCCTTGTTTACAACGCTGTAAAGGCTTCACCCACGTAATACAAATACAAATAATCGCCCAACAGAACCTAAACACCTAACCTAACCTAACCTAACCTATGCCTATATATGCACAATATGCTATTATAATATTCATTTATATTTGAGAAAATTCGCGTTTTGAATGAACAGCATGTACAAAATTATGAATGCGTCTGTGGGGTCGACCGCTGGATGTAATGGACTTCAGTCGAGGACAGGTTGAATATTTGCAACCTTATATTTGGGCACCGAAGGTGACCAAGGGAGCCTGGGCCACGTCTTATGACTGGTGTTTCCGCCTCCTCTACGTCAAACGCCTGAACACTCAGACTTTAGTATTTATCAAGCATTTACATAACCACTTACGAAACCAGTGCATCTTTCCCTAATCATGGGGGAGGGAGGGAGAGGGCTCTGATTACATTTATTAAAGAGTTTATGGGTTCCGAAGCACTACGAAGTTGTTTTTAACAATAATAACCTTGGGTTGTGACGTTTCGTAGCTCGTAAAATCACAAAGGACAAGTTGAACAACGACACAAAGCATAAGACACAAAGAACGACAAAAAAACGACCCAAGAGACGAGCCAAAGCACGACAGGAAACAATATGTAGTCAACGGTGCCCTGAACGTTGGTCAGAATGAGTCGTGGACAGTTTTGGGAAAAAAATTATTTTCCGCGTCCGTCATCAAACAGAATTCAGTTTGTGCGCGTTTTGATAACATTTTAGTATGCATCATCTGTGAATCATGAGAATAAGGTTAGCAGACTTCTAGACGTTCCCACTGCTAGGCTCAGGCTTTGATACAAGTACCACTATGGGAGTTTGCACCACCTGCTGATGTAGACTCGATTAAATGTAAACTCTGTCAGCAGAACTATTCATATCCTTTGCGTCATTATATAATTGAATGCGAAAAAGTCGCGGAATTCAAAGATAACACCATCAATGGTGTTTGAGATATTGTGTACGTACTTCAGTCATAATGATGTACTGCACTGCCAGGAATCTTAGCAAAGTATCAAAAGTTTATACTTACTGTAGGTGCAGCCTGCACTTGACTGTAGAGCTGCCGCCCAGTTGGGTGGGTGTGGAGCAGGATTAGTAATTGTGTGACTTACCATAGATGTAAAATGCCTTGTATAGTGACTTGTGGACCACTTCTTCAATCACGTGATATATGAAAAGGCTATTATTATATGTATATGTAATTGTAAGTGCGCCAGCGTGTGTGTATATATATATATATATATATATATATATATATATATATATATATATATATATATATATATATATATATATATATATATATATATATATATATATATATATATATATATATATATTGCGTGAGTGAGTGTGTGTGTGTGTGTGTACTGGCCTATTTGTGCTTGCGGGGGTTGAGACTTGTCTCTTTGGTCCCGCCTCTCAACTGTGTGTGTGCGTGCGTGCGCGTGTGCAATAAAAAAATTGTGTAACTAACTCCACAAAATTCTTACTTGCTTAGCTAAATGAACCCTTTCCACCACCTCCCACTGGACGGGTATGGGGTGCATAATAAACGGCTAGACTAAAACCAAACATCCACAACGTCTCTCGAATTTCAAGGCGGATTTGTGCGTTCGATTCCCTTCATCTAATAATACGGGATAGAGTCACACCTCTTCAGTACCTCGCTCTATCACATAAGCCTCAAGCCAAGATATAAAGAATAAACAGCAAAACAATACAGCGAATGATATCGCGCAGGATATGCCATCCGGTCGCTCCGTGATATCAAGGATCAGGGCAGCGATACCAGACGTCTTTCACCATCACTACAGGCAAGAGGCCCCCTCAGTCTTCACCATCACTACAGGCAAGAGGCCCCCCCAGTTTTCACCATCACTACAGGCAAGAGGCCTGTAGGCTCCCCAGTCAACCGCCCAGGATGGTACTTAACCTGCGAGTCAGCGTGTGTGTGGTAGCGAGTGTGGTACTGGCAGTTGGCGCCAGTAGTAAGGATGACGATCCCAAACCCTGTGTGCGTCCCGACCTGAATAAGTACTGTGGTTGTGCTTCTGGTACTCCCTACACGAAGGTCCAGTGCTCATGTCGCGATGGAGAGGTGAGTGAATGGGTGCGGAGGTAGGGAGACATGAAGGAATTAGGAGTTAGGTAGGTAGGTAGGTAGGTAGAGGGAGTGTACTCGCCTATTTGTGTCTGCAGGATCAAACATTGACTCTTGGATCCCGCCTTTCTAGCCACCGGTTGTTTATAGCAATGACTTTTGTCCTATTTTCATATCATATCTTAGTTTTAAAATTATGAGTAGAGTTTGCTTCCACAACCTGCTCCTTAAGTTAATTCCATTTTTCCACTACTCTCAGGCTAAAAGAAAACTTCCAAACAGCTCTGCTACCTGTTAAAGTCCTCTTGGAGGATCCTTCAATCCTCATTTCTGTCATAACTCTTCTCATTAATTATGCGTCATCCGCGAACATCGACACGGAGGACTCTACTCCTGTAAACATGTCATTTACGTATATTAGAAATAGAACTGATCCCAGCACCGATCCTTGAGGTACTCCACTCGTTACCGTTCGGCAGTCAGACTTCTCGCAACTTAACGTTAGTTTCTGGCTCCTTCCTGTTAGGAAGTTCCTTACTCATGCTAAGGCCTTTCAGCTTAATTCTACCTGCCTCTCAAGTTTAAATAGCAGTCTCCTGTGCGTTACTGTATCAAAGGCTTTTTGGCAGTTTGCCCATCCTGCCTTATTCTTTTTATTTTATCATTCCAGAAGGTTTGTTCGGCATGATTTCCCTTCCCTGAACCCATGTTGGTGTTTATTTACAAACCTAATGTTCTTTGGGTTGGTAACTAGTCTTAGCCTGATTATTCTTTCAAGTATTTTACAGGGAGATGCTTGTCAGTGATACAGGTCTGTAGTTATGTGCCTCCTCCCTATCCCCTTTCTTTAAAATTTGTACCACGTTTGTTTTCTTTCAAAACTGGGCTACTTTCCCGTCGTGACTCATTAAAGATCCTTGCCATGGGCACGCCGAGGGCCTGCGCTGCCTCTTTTAGTATCCACGGTGATACTTTGTCTGGTCCAACTGTTTTAGTTGCATCAAGTGATCTCAGCTGTTTCATTACCTGCTCTGCTGCCATTTCTATATCTGATAGTCTCTCAACTAGGGTCATTTTTTCTAACAGTGGGAGCTACTCAGGCTCGGCTGTGAAAACTCCATGGAAACTGGAATTCAGTAACCCCCAGATTTCCTTGTTACTTTTCGTATATGCCCCTCTGTTTTCCTTAGTCTTGTCACTTGGTCGTTCACCGACATTTTCCTTGTTATATGACTATGTAGTAATTTAGGTTGCTTTTTCGCTTTGATCGCAATATCGTTCTCATAATTTGTTTCCGATACTCTTCTTATGTTAATGTAATCGTTCCTAGCTCTGTTGCATCTAATCCTGTTGTCCTCTGTCCTTTGTCTGCTGTACTTCCTCCACTCCCGCCTACTTCTCATTTTTGCTTCCTGACACTGTCTATTATTGAGTTGTTATTTGGTTGAGTTGTTATATTCCCTCCTACTTTTTTCCTTTACTGTTAGTATAAATATCTCTTCGGCCTTCTTGCATTTCCATATGACTGGGTCCATCTGTCACGGCCCTATTGGGTCGCAACTGGGTTCTTTCTCTGATGTTATTAGAGTTTGGGTATCCGGCCCCAAGTTAGTAGTGGCTTTCAAGGGGTGTGTTCCGTAACGCAAGTAAATTAAAGGGGAAGGGATAAAACTGCACTAAATTAAATATATAATTATTCCACCACCATAAATCAATATATTAACAGTCACACGTGGGGTTGCTATTACTACACTTATTATTTACAATAACTCATCTTCCTCCGAAGACATGGGATGTTTCACGGTGCTCAAGACGAGTAGCCCTGGTTCTCTTCTTGTGGCCTCACAATGAATCCTTCGATTCCCTAGGCGAGTCTACCCTGGCCACAGGCCAGCCAAATCACAGTCCCACTGGGTGCACCGTCGTGGAGGCCTTCAACCACAGATCCAGCCTGTAGCTGGCAGGTTCCAATCAGCTCTGCTGCGTAGGCCACTCCACGACCGATACTAGGGTTGCGAGCCCTAGGCAGGAGCCTCGTGTGATTCCGCTGATCACTCTCCTCACCACAACACCCCAGTGGCTAGTCTTCTCCACCAGTCAGCACCGGGTACGACAATTCCTGGTTCTGCCACCTCACAGGCAGGCTAACACAACAGTGTTCATCCGGGGGGGGGGGGTGGGGGTGGGGGGTTACTCACAGCTTCTACAGCAAACACTTGGAGAGACTCTGGCTGCCTCGGGTAGACTGATCCACCGACCATTACAGCAGCCCCAGGTCGACTCTGTAATCAGACACGTCATCAGTACTAGGGACACTCTAGGGCACCTCACTTACAGGCTTAGACACAAACGCCCACCTATCCACTCCATAGATGGCGTTGCTGTCTAAGCGTCACCTCACCAGAGGTCAGCAGCGGCTATGTTACTAGCTGATCAAGGCGGGAAACCAGCCCCTGTGGCCAATATATCTCGTCCTCACTAGATGGCGTCGTCCATTTGGAGGGGGTTTCGGGAGCCGACCCACAGATGGCGTGGACGTCACTGCTCCATGCTACGACGCTGGACTCGGGTCCGTAACACCATCATATCTTGGACTGTTTTTCCTCTACTGCACTTCTCCCAGATATTCCCTTATCTTCCTGTAATCTCCTTTCCTGTAGTCAACTCTACTTTCCCAGACCTCGTTCATGTGCATGCGTGTATACTCACCTAGTTGTGCTTGCGGGGGTTGAGCTTTGGCTCTTTGGTCCCGCCTCTCAACTGTCAATCAACTGGTGTACAGATTCCTGAGCCTATTGGGCTCTATCGAATCTACATTTGTAACTGTGTATGGAGTCTGCCACCACCATATCACTAATTAATGCATTACATTTGTTAACTACGGACACTGATAAAACTATTTCTAATGTCTCTTTTGCTTATCTGAGTACTAAGTTTCCACCTGTGTTCCCTTGTTCGTGTTCCACCCGTACTGAAGAGTTTGTCTTTGTCCACCCTCTAAATTCCCCTGAAAATTTTGTAGGTGGTTATCATGTCTCCACTTACTCTTCTGTCTTCCAGAGACGTGAGGTTTAGCTCTCAAAGCCTTTTCTCGTAGCTCATAGCTCTCAGTTCTGGGACTAGTCTGGTGGCACACATTGAATCTTCTCTAACTTTATCTTGTGTTTAACTAGGTATGGACTCCAGGCTGGAGCTGCATACTGCTGGATTGGTCTGACATAAGTGGTATACAAGTTCCTGAACAATTCCTTACACAATTTTTTAAAGGCAGTTCTTATGGTGGCCAGTCTAGCATATGCCGCTGATTATATCTTTTTGATGTTGGCTTCTGGGGACAGGTTTAGTGTGATAACCCCCAAATCTTTCTCTCTACTTGACTCTTGCAGGATTTATATTGGGTGTTTACTACTGGGTGTATACTACAATGTATATACTGGGGGTGTCAGTGTCCACTCCTTTTCCTGTTGAATTATAATTCACTTCCCAGATGGAATCTTGTGTCAGCCTCCTGCCCCCTTCGCCTAATTTCATTTCTTTACACTTTCCTGAGTTGAACTTTAGTAGCCATTTTCTAGACCATTCCTTCAGTTTGTCCAGGTCGTCCTGTAGTCTTTGTCTATCTTCATCTGTCTATACTCTTCTTATAATTTTTGCATCATCAGCAAACATTGAGAGGAATGAGTTTATACCCTCTGGAAGATCGTTTACATATATCAGAAACAGGATGGGTCCAAGTACAGAGCCCTGTAGAACTCCGCTGGTGACATCTCGTCATTCTGATGTCTACCCCCCTCACAGTTACGCACTGTTTCCTGTTGCTTAAGTACTCCCTTATCCACTGGAGCACGTTACCTTTTACTCCTGCAGGTTTCTCAAACTTTAGTAACAGCATTTTATGGGGAACTGTGTCAAAGGCTTTCTGACAGTCCAAGAAAATGCAGTCTGCCCACCCTTCTTTTTCTTGCCTATTTTTTGTGTCTTGATCATAGAATTCTATTAAGCCTGTGAGGCACAATTTACCATCCCTGAACCCATGCTGGTGGTGTGTTACAAAGCTCTTTTCCTCCAGATGTTCTGCAAGCTTTTTCCTCGCTATCTTCTCCGTCACCTTGCATGGTATACAAGTTAGGGAAACTGACCTGTAGTTCAGTGCCTCTTGCCTGTCACCCTTTTTGTTTATTGGGACTACATTAACTGCCTTCCAGCTCTCTGGCAGGTCTCCTGTTTCCAGTGACCTGTTATACACCATAGTGTGGGGCACACTTAGTGCTTCTGCACCCTCTTTTAGTATCTATGGTGAGATTCTGTCAGGCCCAACAGCCTGACATGAAATACCCAACATGAACCTTAGTGCTGGCTTTGTTGCTGTTGACTCTTCCCTTTCACAGTACATACTCAAATGCTTTAACCTTTATAATAAACGTGACCTAACATAAGCCTACCCTCATTTTTCCTCTTATTCTTACGTTCCCATTCTTATACCCATTATCCTCCTCCTCTTACACCCTTCCCATCTGTACCTTTCACCTTCCTCTATAAATTTCCTCCTCACCTCTCTCCTCCTTTCTCTTGCCTTAATGCCCGTGCCGCCTCCTCCTCTCACGGGAGACATCTCCCGTCACGCAGGGTGCAGTCGCACCTCCGCAGATCTCCAGTATCAGCTCTTGATACTGGTAATAGCTCAAAAGGGCCACCACTTACGGGCTATTCATGCCCGTGCCACCTTTTGGGTAGCTTAATCTTTATCAATCAATCCATCCTCCTCTCGTCTCAATCGACTTGATAATGGTCCAATACGGACCGAAACGTCGTCTCCTCATCTTCTGGTATGTGGTTTAGTCTACAAAGGTATCTATAGAACTCGTTACGAAGACTACAATCAAGTCTCAGCTGGCGAGATATAGTAACATACCCGGTAGATATATTTTCGCCTTAATGTAGTAACTGAAATCCTAGATAATTGATTTGGCAGTTCTGAATATCAAAATTAGATAGAGGAAGGATATGCAAGCTAGGCTAGAATGTGATATTCCTGGTTAATTCCTGATGGTATGTATTGTGCTGTGAATGATATAATAGAGAGCGGTATTCTGATTATTTTTTTAATATCAATGATCTTTTACTGTTTGTCTCATTTTTAGTCTCTGGGGTTATGCTTCCCCGCACTATGGGAGAGGGAAGTGTTATGCATATTTGTAGGCGGGAAGGTCATGCATATTTGCAGGCCTAAGCAAGTTTTTAAAAGATACACGAATGTGAATAATTAGCTTTTAATTAATTAAATTAATTAGCTTTGTGTTTCAACTGGGAATAATAATGCTATAACGTATCTTCCTTAGCCACTGTACCTGTCAGAAAACGAGGCCGACAATCTGCCTTATGTGCCGATTCAACTGGAAATTCGTGGGTGCTCCAGCGTCACGCTGGGGCCTAAGTTGCTTACCCCTACAATTATTAGGGTCCTGGCTCTCACCAACATCACCAACCTGACGATTGACACCGACAGCCTCGAGCTCTTCGAATCCATCAGTGTGATCATTGACAGCATAGGGAACCTCACGTTGATGCCTCGAGCTGTTACCATCGAACCTTTCGACGGCATAACACGCAGTTTTAATTTAAATGTGACCAACTCCTCCTTCTCTCACCTGCCTGAGGATGCCATTGTCTACAATAACACAGATAATCTTGAGATATATGCGGCTAATAACTTAAGTCCGTGTAAGTGTGAAAATGTAGCCTGGCTCACCACCAAGAACTATGACAAGAAACAGGAGGAGGTTGCTCATTCGATCACTTGCCCAGAAGGATTACACCTTGACCAGCTGAGCAGCACCTGCGGCGGAGCAAACAGCGTCCTCTGGGCCATGACGACACTAGCTGGGAGCCTAATGTTGTTGAGCTACGTTTACCTTGGCTCTTCCTGTCTACTGTAAAACTTTTAACATGTTCTCTCAAACTTCCCATAGCACTGACAACCCAATACTCACCTATTTGTGCTTGCGGGGGATGAGCTTTGTCTCTTTGGTCCCGCCTCTCAACTGGTGTACAGATTCCTGAGCCTACTGGGCTCTATCATATCTACATTTGAAACTGTGTATGGAGTCAGCCTCCACCACATCACTTCCTAGTGCATTCCATTTACTAACTACTTTGACACTGAAAAAATTCTTTCTAATGTTTCTGTGGCTCATTTGGGTACAAGTTTCCACCTGCCCCCCCCCCCCCTTGTTCGTGTTCCACCCGTGCTGAAGAGTTTGTCTTTGTCCACCCTGTCAATTCCCCAATTCCCCTGAGAATTTTGTAGGTGGTTATCATGTCTCCCCATACTCTTATGTTTTACAGGGACGTGAGGTACAGCTCCTTCAGCTTTTCCTCGTAGCTCATACCTCTCAGTTCCGGGACAAGTCTAGTGGCATACCACTGAATCTTCTCTAACTTTGTCTTGTGTTTAACTAGATATGGACTCCAGGCAGGAGCTGTATATTCCAGGATTGGTCTGACAGGGTCTTGAACAATTCCTTACAAAAGTTTCTAAAGGCAGTTCTTATGCTGGCCAACCAGCATATGCCGCTGATGATATCCTTTTGATGTGGGCCTCTGGGGACAGGTTCGGTGTGATATCAACCCCCAGATCTTTCTATTTGACTCTTGCAGGATTTATACTGGGTGTATACTACAATGTTTATACTGGGGCGTCAGTGTCCACTCCTTTTCCTGTTGAAATATAAATCATAATAGGAAAAGGAACTAGAAGCACACTGCTGCTTTGAAAAGCTGCTGAATCGAGCTATTAGCTCTTGGAGCCCGCCTTTCTAACCAATCTATTTTCCCCTCTGTCTACTACATATACTCTCTAGCACATGTACACACACACAAGTTCTTGTTCCGATCTCGAACCTACATTGTAGCATGTCTCTGCATTATTTTTAACTTTTAGGTAGTTTTCTTTGGTGGTGGTCAGGTGATATATACACCTAGAGGGGAGAGGAAGGGGATGTTATATATCCTTATATATTGCTTATGAGTCAAGACTGGCCGCAGCCTGGACTCGGGGAGTAGAAAAACTCCCGAAACACGCTCCAAGTATATACATGTGTATAAAATATATATGTATATATTAAATAAAATTTAATAGACCTGAGACAAAGTGAAAGGGTTAAAATCAAATTAAAACTATTATGTATTATATATTAGCATATGTAAGTGGGATTTATTTGATTGTTACTGCCAGCAGCTGCTAATTTATTGTGCATCCTATACTCTTCTGCGAGCAGTAGCACAAAGATTACAAAAAGCACAAAAGCTGTTTAATGAGGCCACATTTGGTGTTAACATTGAATGCTACAAGTTATATGTACACCTTACATTTAATTATTACATCCTTGCTTGCAAAAAAGAGAACCACTGAGTGCACTGCAGTTGCAATCAGGCCTAAGACGTAATACTCTAGTGTGCCCTCCTCCCATCTTTGTCCACACACCTTTTTTTATACTATTTAGATCCCCCAACACAAGGTGAATTGCCAGAAATACTTGCAACCTACTCTTATTCAAGCTGTGCCAAAATCTAGTACAGTACTAGTTCAGAAATATTTCATACCACTGGAGGTTATCTTGAGATGATTTCGGGGCTTTAGTGTCCCCGCGGCCCGGTCCTCGACCAGGCCTCCACCCCCAGGAAGCAGCCTGTGACAGCTGACTAACACCCAGGTACCTATTTTACTGCTAGGTAACAGGGGCATAGGGTGAAAGAAACTCTGCCCATTGTTTCTCGCCGGCGCCTGGGATCGAACCCGGGACCACAGGATCACAAGTCCAGCGTGCTGTCCGCTCGGCCGACCGGCTCCCAGTGGGGATGTGGAGCGTAAGGGAAATCACTCGGCTCAACAGGAGTTGTTAGTTTTAAAACTACACAACTGTGGTAAAAATTTACAATGAACTGTAACATTGACTTGAGCAATACAATGAACATTTGGCATCATGTCATACCTATGATTCTTGATTTTTTAAGTATTTCTAATTTTTATTTAAACAATGTAAAAATATGGGTAGAACATCATATAATTGACAATTTATAATGATAAGCATATGATCATTAAATTTAAACCAACCTTTGTTTGTTTTAGGATGAACCAAAGAGGAACCAAATATATATTAATATTATGCAGTACTAGTTAGTAATTCACTGCTGAAATATGTCAACTGGTTACATTGTGGTAACAGGAACTAGTAGTAGTGTGTTGCTGCAGAGTCTGACTAGTATGGTGCAATGGGAAATGTTGTGATGTAATGATCCCATCCCATTTGCTTGAATCTCTTAGGTATATTTCTAGCCACATGTCCAGAGATTAGCTTACTGCCTGGCTAGTCAAACTATAACCATCATATTATGTGAGAGACAAAGTAAGTAATTATCAAATGAGCGCACCAAGCCGGGAAGGCTATGTAGCACCATCAAATGTATGGGATATTCAAAATGCGCTAAATATCACTAAGGATGCCAATACGAGAACAAAAGTGCATAAGGCGAACAACATCAAAGGTATCCAATTCACCAAGGATTCCACTGAGGGACAGGTGACTGCGAGGGGCAGTCGGGAAGCAAGACGCACGCACATTCTGGAAGTCCGAACATTCAACAAGGATATGCATGACTGTAAGAGGGACAATGCAGTTTGGACAATAAGGAGCAGCATTAAGTTATACAGGAATCGTCACTACATAACCTCGCCAGAGACGTTTTCCACCGCCGGTTATGGTGGAGGAAGGCCATGAGGACACACTACCCTCAAGAGCATGCAGCTTGTCACCAGTAACAGAAGACTAGCAATCCTGCCAATGGGCACAGATTGAGGAATGAATAACTAGGTAGAAGTCGAAATAAGGAACACCACTGCAGGGAAATGGGCCAAGTGTGGATAGCCTCCTTCGTGGCAGCATCTGCACGCTCATTTAAGTTAACACCAATATGGCAGGAAACCCTGGAAAACTCGACAGTCTTAAATCTGCTGGAGATAAGAAACAGCCACTATTGAATTTCGATGACCACAGGATGGACAAGATTAAATATACCCGAGCCATGAGGGCAATGTAACAGTCAACTACAACAACAAAGGAAGATTGAGAGTGAAAAAGCAGTTGATGAAGAGCTTACAAAATTGCATAAGTTCTGCTGTGGAGATGCTAGTCTCTGGAAGTAGGTGACACATATAGGTACAGTCAGGAAATACAACGGAGTAGCATATACCGTCAGCAGACTTAGACCCATCTGTGAAGACAGAGATGGAGCTGGAGTGTAAAGAAAAGTGAGCAAGGAAAATTCTATTCAGAACTGTAGGAGGGGTAAAAGCTTTAGTCATATGGGTCAAGGTTCTACAGAACTTAGGAAGAGGGACCCCTCCATGGGGGCAAGGATGGAATGACATGAGAAACATTTTTAACACAAACCGAGAGAGAACCTTGCAAGCCAGACAAACGTACAGAAAGGGGAAGGTGGTGAAAGGGAACAGAGGCCACAGGAGGGGTAATGGTCAAAGTACGAGAATGAGGGTGTTGTAGGGACTGTGCAAAGTAGTGAAGACAGTAGAGATCACAGTGATCCTGTAGAGACAGGAGGCCGATCAAGATAAAGAATTGTTGGAGAGGCGGTCGAGTAAGCAGGACAGCCATAATCAAGTTTAGACAGCACGACAGAGGAATGTAAAGAGAGGAGCGTGCGCCTATCAGCTTCCCAGGAAATATGGGACAAGTTCTTAAGTTAAGGGCCTTAGAGCATTCAACACGGAGGTAAGATACATGTGGTGACCAAGACAAATGTGTGTCAAAGATTAAGAGAGACGATGAAATGATGGCAAATATTACTTCTCATAACCTAACTCATAACTTAGGGGAAACCTTCAACAAGCAGCTGGTTTCTTGTCGTCGTCTATGCCACTATTGTTAGTGGCCCTCAGGTAAATCAGGTAAATAAAATCTGGTGAATTTTAGAACTTAATTTTAAGTCTGCCACTGGAACTCACTTTTTCTCTGAGTTTTCTTAGCAGATCTGCCAAACCTGGTACAATACTTGGTACAATAATTTTATCACAAAGTTATACCATCCTCGTAAACTTTCCCGTATGAAACACAAGCTCTTTCATGTCAATGTCATGCCTATTTAAGCTAAGAACCTCCATCTCATTAATTATGTAATGTGACTAATAGGAAGAAAACAAATTTGGGTTTTCAATCGAGTCAGTTTTAATTCCTGCCAATTCACTAATAGCATCATTGCAACCATGATGTCTAGTTTGTGCTGTAATAATGTTGGCTGCTGTTGCCATGTGAACATTTCCAATCATCCTGAAGTCAGTACCAGTATATAAGTATGTATCATATGAAGGCAACAAGCCTTGAAAGACTATTTAGCAGTGTCTGTGGCACAGAACAGTAAAATAATTCCAAGATATTTTTCAGGATGTCAATATGAGAGCAAAATGACATAAGACGAGCAATGATAATGGTATCAGATTCATCAACGGTTTTATTGAGGGGAAAGTGTGACACTATATACATTACATCCTGTGATATGGCTCTCATCAACTGCTCACACCATGAAGATATTGGATTTTCATTCAGGATGCCAAAGACATGAGCAAAAAGATATACATCGAATCATTTCAAAGGAAGGAGGGACTTATCAGGAGAAAGTGCCAAACCATTACGACTACTGTATATAGGACTTGGATGGGATCGAGATAAGGATTTTGATGGGACAGAGGGAAGGAATTGTTGCCAACCACTTGGACGGTCGAGGATTGAACGTCAACCTGCAAGAAGCGAGACCATCGCTCTACTGCCAGCCCAAGTCATTGGGCACAATTTCATAGGAGGCAGATTCACTGAGGATTTTTTCAAGGGGCAACTGATTCTAATGACCATTGGTAAAGCAAAATACCTGTCCTGTTTGGAGTAATTGATAATAAATGTTACGAGTAATGATAAGATTACTGTAAAACAATCAAGAAAACTTATTGGTTTACCTTAAGACTCCTTCCTTGAAGGAAAAACATAAGCGTCTTTTAAAGATAGAAACTCCAGTACTACTTGAATGATCAAGTATGCC